TGAAGAGAGAGGCTGGACATTATTAAGCATAGACTAGCGTCACTCCATTCCCTCCTAAAGAGGGAACCCACCCCTAAAAGCAAGAGGGAAAGAAGGCCGAAATGGAAAAAAAATTGAACTTCAATCCCCCACATCCGCCTCCCTTCTCGTGCAAGGGTGAACTTGCACTTGTAGGTTGAAATATTAGAGGCAGCAGTGAAGGGTCGTGCGGAACGACCAATTTTCCTCATCGCCGTGACATTTACTGAATGCGTGCCATAAATCGTCTGTAACCTATGATCCAGTTCTGACTAGATTCCAACCACAGTTCCGTACGACGAAACATCCTCAAAACAGGCATTGCCGGCGTGTTCAATCTGCTGGCGAATGCTACCAAGAAACGGTCACTTCAAAATCAATTTACCACGATGGCAGAGATTTCAAGAACAGAAACGGGCTAGCTATAAGGTCCCCAGTCAACCAACTGATCGTGATTACCGGGCGATAAGATCAGGATCAAGTGCTGTATAATGCGACGACACACTGGAAAGCGTAGAAGAGGGGCCAAGAAACTGTGGACGAGAGGGGTGCCCACGGGCCCAACACATAGGCTTCCTGGGCGTTGCTCGTCAGTTTTCACGTTTTTAATTTCTGGAACAGCCTCTGCGATCGTGGAGCAGAATACCTTGTATAAAGACGAGTAGACCTTGGACTTTGCCTCCTAAATGTGTACTGCAGAAGCGTGCCGATTTTTCTGGTCAAAAATGCTAGAGGACGCTGCTGGGTACCGTCTTCATTCCCGCAGCACTGTCAGCCGCATGCCTGACTACAGCCAAACACGCTAATTGTCTGCGCCCTCCCACTTCTACTTGTTCTTTGCAGCTGAGTGCGCTGTGAAATCTTAGTATAGACGCAAGCCAGCACACTAAGGATAGCGCGGGAGACACAGTGCCGTTCAGCCCCAATCCCGTATCATTTGTAGCGGAGAAAGTGGCACCCTGCAAGTCCATTCACTGGAAAGAATCGTCATCGGAGGTGAGTGTACGGTTCTCAAGAGTTATAGCCCTATTTTATCGCGGACAGTGTCTTCAAGACTATTAGGAAGCATCAAGCGTGTAGGGGCAGATGACGGAACATCCATGTTGTAGCGATGCACAACTAGCCACTATTCCCTATTCAGCTGATTTGACATGCTGTAGCACTACGGCAGCGCTTAGAATCCGAAATGGCACGCTTCGACGCGGCGTTGCGCTGTAACGTGCGTTGACGCACAGCACTTGCAACAGTGGTCCAGTCTCAGTGCCAATCGATAACAGACTGTGTGTTGAGCAATAGCAATGTTTAATCGGCCTCTAGAATAAGAAGTGGCTCCTGTTCCCCATACTCTTAAAACATTAGGGATCGGTGCCGATCGGCTTCTCGTCTAAAGTCTTAGGCGCTGACGCAACTGTAGCGCGTTACAGCGCGTCATCGTGGAGTCTAAACGCTGTCTGTAACGCTAAATCGTTTAGGTTGCAAAGCGAATACCGCTCATGTAGAAGAATTTGCAAGGAAAACTCGATAAGCATCGAACGGTCGCGTCGAGACACCGCTCGTCACGCCCCACGCCTGTGATCTGGTCAGAAAGTGTGCTCGCGAGACTGACTTCTAGAACAGACCAACTCGTGCTTTGGGGATTCCTCGTATTTAGTCGCTGGACGAAGGGGGCCGCACTTAGTCCGAGAGTATTTTTTTTCCATTTTTCTTGTTTCACGATGAAAGGAGTGGGAGTCACATTTGCCTTTGAGAGAAATTTGCGGCGTGGGGAGAAAACTTTTCACGGTTGTTGACTTCGCGGTGTGTGTTTCATATGTGCTATATACTCCTCCCCCCCCCTGCGCTCCACCTGCCTCGACAGCAAAATTTTGGAGAAAAAGTGGAAAATTCTTGGGAAATTTCGGAAAATGTGGAAGGAAGCTGGGAAGAGCTGGCAAGATAGTAGGTAGAAGGGAGAGGCGGTCGTATCAGAAGAGGGAATTAGGGGAGGGGTTGTATTTCCCGAAAATTTCCCCAACAGCAAGACGTGCCGTGCTCTAGATTAAAAAGGGGCTCAAATTCACAAGCAGTGACATCCGAGGAAGATTGGGTCCTTTCTGGGCCCTAAATCAAAACGATTACGAAGCAAATTCACCTAGTTCTTTAGAGAGTTCATGTTGAATAACGACTCAATTAATGAGCGATGGTAAATGATTGAGCGATAAATTGGAGTGAAAAAAGGTCGGAGACAAGTTCTGTGAAGTACCGGCGCAGGTAAAAAACGTACTTCGCCCTGTTTGTTGTAGAGCATGGTTTGCACGTTTGAACCGACACCGAATGATTCTTCAGAGTCGAATACGAGGGATTCGGGAGGATTGTGAACTCCGCCTTGTCCACGTGCCCAGATCTGAAACAATTTTCGGCATGTTCTTCCTAGAAATCGATAGATGTAATCAGCACACCGTAACACTTTTTCCTCCTTTGAGGACGAAGTCTGCTGGGAACGTGTAAACAATTTCATGTTTTCCATCGATCTTCCTCTTCAGCATCCACCCTCCAATAGGTTCTTCTTTGGAGCGACTAGTGTTTTGGACCACAACATACTTTCCATCCAGCGAAGGGTCCTGCAAAGGCCAGCAATGATGGAAACATTGCTACTTTCGTATTAAACTTGTGGAGCGATCCCAATTTACCTGAATGGAAACATTTCCTGTGGCCGAACGGCTGTACAACGTTCTCATGAAAGTTCCACGGTTCAGCATTTCCGTGGTCTCTGAAAGTACAGAAATTGAACCAGAAGAATCATCTAACAACTGAGAAGTCTCCGCCCACCAATGCCACCGAGCCCGTCGATTGTTGTGGTTCGAATAGCGACGTGCTGTGGAAGTCCTCCACCGCGTTTCCTGCGTCAGAGAGCCAGCCGGTAAATTTCAGTAGCAAGAGCGTGAAACCTTTTTCTGAGTTTTCGACGTTAATCTGATTATAATTACCTGTTTTGGGTCGATCTACATTTTTGTTATACCTGAAGGTCTTGACCATCTTCTAGCACCTTGTGGGTCTAGCCCAGAGCTATTATATGCAGTCGATGGTCTTGCTCGTAATCATACTAACACCCCTGAGGTCGCTTTTCGCTTTTCTCATTGGGGAAACGTATAGGCTTTACCTTCTCGTGTCGCACAATGGGTGGGAATTGACCATAACATACACACAAACACATGCACCCAACGCATAAATGGGTCAGGGAGCAACGAGCTGCGTGGCTGCGTACTTTATTTGAACCTCGCTTAGGCTGCATTTTTCGTAGGATATTGTCTTAGGCTGAGCAAAGACAACATTACAGTCGGGTGCCAACGAGATGGACGAAAGATGGACGAAAGAAGATGAACGAAACATAGCAGGACGAGAGTCACTCCTTTTGGTCTCGGGCTCTATTTATAGCAAACTTACAGCAGCACAATCGGCCGCGATAATATCCGCTTGATCTTGGATTGGCGATATGAAGCCATAATTCTTCCCGCGGTGGGACATTCACCCACATGAATGGTTTGCAAAATTTTGAAAATGGCGATTTTAGTGTTTACGGCCTGCCCCACAGCAGGCGCTCTTCTACAGGGGGAGCCAAAAAAAAAGTCATTCCGGCCGAGTCACATATGAGCGAAGTTTTCGCAGCCGACAGAGGAAGTGGATATGAGTACCAGGGCGAAAGATACCCAAGATCTTCCTCTATAAGCAGGAGCTGTCCCTTGCCCATCACCTTCCTGTACGCCAAAATATGAAGTCATCTCCAGTCGCGGTCCTGAGTGGAGAACGCCTTTCTTGGAATTTCACGTGGCCTCCAAACAGCTGCGGAACTTCTTGAATGGAATCACCCATGGATAGCTACCTGGAGACCAGTACTCTTGATCTGCAAGACCTCAAACATCGAGCAGCTCCGGCAACGTCGCTACGGTCCAGGACATCATCTTCACCCCATTCACCAAGGCGCGGGTTGATGGTGTGGACCGGCCGTACCTGGAATGGGAAGACCGATATTTTCTTTGTAGACCCCGACTGAAGGTGAGCGCTGGCGGTTACATCAAGTAACTCGAGAGAAGATATCCTCGCTCTACATGATTGGGGTCGCCCCGTACCTTCTTTGGAGACTTCTTGCTGCTTACCACGGTTTGGGTGCCACACATGGAAGCGAAGGGTTTAAAAACTTCCGCCTACTTCGAATGGATGGAGCGTTTCGTACCTGATGAAGATGTAATATTGAAATATGTCCCCTGACCTGAACCCACTCAATTACCTAGTTCGGACGGAGCTCAATAGGGTGGTCTACGGTGGCGGAGAAATCGACTATCTTGCTGATCTCAGGGACCACATCGCGGTTGCGTGGCAGAATCTCTCGATGGCGCTCCTCCAGAAGGCTGTGGCGGAGCATCATTATAGTATTTAATGTGCTCTTTAATATGGCGACTAGAAATGTCCGATCAAATTTACTAACAGTGCCAACTTTATGCGCCTCGAAAATCGAAAGGAAGAAAACAAAATTTTTTACTTGCCCCCCCCCCTGGTAGTTCGACGAAGAGTGTCTCAGAGCATTTTTATAAAACCGGGAACTGCTTGAAATGAACGGCCCTGTCAGCAAGGAGCTCTACATGGTCCGGTTACATCGCGTAAAAGAGGTTATTTCACAGGGAAGACCCCATTGACGAGACCAAACCGTACTCGTTCACGACAGTGTTAACCCCATGGTGCCCAAGTCGTCAGAGCTCCACTCCAAGAGCTCAAGTAGGAGGAGCTTCAAATTTCGCCGTTTCTTTGGACTTTTCACCCACGGACTACCATGTTCCGCGCCCTGTCGAACCATATGTGAGGCGTCACCTTGGGCAATGAGGGGGTCCTTATAATGTGACTCACTAACTTCTTCCACACCAGACCGCATGACTTTAGGAGAAACGGCATCAACAAATTGGTCGATAGGTGGTCGTAAACAGCAACGGCGAACACACAATCCACTAGTTTGTTATTTTAACCACTGATTTTTGTCCGATCAAAATAGTTTGATGAGAACTAATTCTTCAACCGAACTGATTTTCGCTGGTCAGCAGTTGATACGGAAAAATCACTGCGAACGCAACGCGATCGTGGAAAGAAAAAATTGAAAGTGACCGCAAACGTCCAGACGAAATCAAAAAGTGTCCTAGTGTGTCATCAAAAAATAAGGACACATTCATAAAATCATGAAACGCTGTCGAATGCTTGGAGACTGCGTAGAAAATAACCCAGGAAAGAAACTGCAAAAAGGTCTTGAACCACTTCCTGCAGGAGAGCATCGCAGTGTGGCTGGTTTAGATATTGTATTACTTTCTTTTTTCTGTCGCTCATAGAAGCTTACCCTTTCAGAAGAAGCTCTGCCAAAGTGAAAAAGTGAGCCACTTTGCAGCATATTGCATGTGAAAACAGCTGACACAAATCTGATGCTGACCTGGACGGCCATTTGTAGGCGTGACGGTTATTGGTGGGCATGCGGATCGGCATGTTAAAGGCAGCGCCCACGTTCATTTGATGTTCCCGCGCCCTCTCTGGATATCATAGCCCTCCCTATGAGGATGCAGTGCAGTGTACTAGTTTTGCATCTCAAAAAGGCGAGAGGATAGCGCCGTTCGCTAGTGAAGAGTCGGCCGCCCGCCCTGGCCTGGCCTGGCCCGGCCAGCATAGGGTTCTATATAGGGCATTTTCCATTTTTTTTTTCTGCTTTTTTCTTCACTACTGGATCACGTATTATATGAGCTCCATAACTCATTATTCTTGAAAGCGGGCTCAGCCTTTAAAGGCTAAGCCAAAGCAGTTATGGCAGCCAGGTGGGCGGGGCGGCATCCTCTTCACAAGCGGGTGGCGCCATCCTCTCGTATTTTTGAGCTGCGAAATTAGTACATCCTCCACCCTTGTCGACAAAGCTACGATATCTAAGGAGGGCGTAGGAACATCAAATGAACGCGAACGCTGCCTTTAAGTCTCGCGGAGGCCGAGGACGCTGGTTACGTGACAACTAGAACTTTTGGTGGGGTCCTGTCGCGGAGGGCCAGATCAATACTGGACTGCAATGGCCCGAGCATCGTGGAGTACAAAAAACATGACGCGAGCCATGAGATGGATTTTCTTTGAAGGAAAAGTGGGGTAGATGAGCACTTAGTATGCGTGAAAAGTTGGAATGTGAAAGGTCAAAGTGTCTCAAATCGCCATTCAGGCAAGAGAGCGCAGAGAAAAACAGAAAGTTGGCGCCATCGAAAGAACTGAGTTTTAGTTGTCCGTAGAGCGCCCTTCGTCTCCATATGCGTGGATTTTGATGGTAAGATGATGCTTACGGCCCCATTAAATTAACCGCAAGGTGGAAAATGTCCGTAAAGAAAGCAGCAGAAAAACAGTCGAGAACGCCCACAGGTAGGGCATTCTGCACCCTCGATAAGAGTTAGGCGGGCTCGGACGCCTAACTCTTATCGAGGGTTCCAAACTGGTAGCTTCATGTTCGGAATGCATTCAAACCGTTTATTCTGTTTGTACCTTTGTCCCGTGCGCTAGTGCTGGGAGCCTTCTGCTTCCCTTCTCTCTCACGTAATTGCCGTGGCCTTTCGAGTAGCGAGGGTGGCATGGTTGTGCTCGGTGATTACTTGATTTATACGAGGAACGACTCCTACTTTCAGGTAAATGGGCGCGTGCATTGAGTCAGTAACATGCGTGTGGAAATAAAAAATTTCGTCTGTTCACTGATTGATCGAACAAGCCAAAACACTCTGTTGACTTTGAGAAAACTCTCGTTTTGTGAACCCCGACTATGGATTCGATTCTGTCCCTTTTCTGGAAGCTTGGTCGATGGTCACTAGGTTCTTGAAAGCACCAAGACACCAACATGAGCAGGTCTTAGTCATGCTTTACGAGGTTTTTTGGTGGACCATTTACGGCTGAATCGTGTTTCACAAGGAGCGATGTTGCCACGATTTTAGGAAAAAACTTTGCTGGCAAACAAAAGCATCAGTCACCTGCAAAATTAGCTTGTGCGAACCCCTGCATAGGCAAATGTGCGCTCAAACACCTCTGAGATTTACAATGGAAAACAAATGCACTGTTTGTTCCATTCCTAAAAATCGTTGATATTATACCGCAATTTATCAACCCAAAAGAACACCGAACACGAGACTACTCTGAAATCCGATGAAAGCTAAAGCAAGAAATGAAGTAGACGTGGTTCCCGAATGTGATTCGTCAGTCCTCAGTCAGCCGGAGGGTGCCTCTCTCCTGGCGTGAAAGGGCGTGACAATGGCGGCAAATTGCGGTTAGGGTGGTGAAGTACGGGGCTCTCATCCTACCGCTGGAGTTTCTTGCTACAAGCCCTTCTTTGTGGTGAAGTACTGTACGGTGTTAATGCTTTTTCAGTTGACTGCAGCCATTACTTGGAGATTGGCGACACTATCGCAACACAAAAAGTTGTTGTAGACCCTTCAGAAGTGCAAATCTGAAGTGAAGCGTGCGGCAGGGGGGGGGCTTTCGCTAGCGCACAGTCAAATAGTCAGAAACTCTCAAGCTACTCAGAAAAGCTTCTATATGCCACCTTGTTAAGATCCATAAACCACTGTGACCAAAGCGACCCACTTGCACCACTTCGCACTTCGCAAATGTTTACGGGCCTTATCGAAGTGAGGCCTCTTAGCTAACATGAGCTATCAGAAGCAACTAGCACAAGTACAAAATGTCCTCTTCCCCCCCCCCCCTCCCACTTGCCCTAAGGTGATCAACGTCTACCGTTGGTTCCCATTTGATGTGTATCAGCTGGATCACCAACAATCCTTTGCATTGTCACATGACCCACTTTTCATACACTTCGGGATAATTGTATGCACATCCCACGCTGATCGCACCTATGCGGACATAAAACGTCCTCGTTAGTGTGGTTCTTTCACTGGGAGGGGAGGCCTATCAAAAGCGCGTAACGGTTCCCTATCTCTGTCCACTCGATTGCGGAGTGACTACTCGTCAAAGAAAACCTGTTAACAAAGATGAACAATGGCCAAAGTTGGAGATCTAAAGAATGCTTATTTTTTATGCGATTAGCATAATTTCCCTGTTTCTAAACCGTCATACTAAGAAGTTGGAGTCAATAATGGCACTAGTTTTTATTGAAAAATAACTGTTTTATTGTCTTTTCAAGTAACTCTCTGGAAACATGAAAGGGATATATTCGTATAGCAAGGTGTCTCAAAGCAATTTTAGAGGCAAAATGCGTTACAATAAGTTCCGCTTCAAGTAAACAGAAACTTGAATCATAGCGACGAGATATTGAGATAACGCATGACCCCCTAAACTCTTCAAAAATGCAGTATCGATACTGATAACAAGGATAATGACGTTGAATATAATCGGATGAGCGGGTATAGTAGGCTTTCGATGAGTATACAGTGAAGCACGAGGGGAGCCATTGTCCACCAGAATGTTGTGGAGACCTTCACATTATGTGGCGCTTTGACTCTGTCGTTGAATGTGCGTGGCGCGTTCCTGAAAAAGTGTTATGAGGGACGTTTGCCAGAAGGCAGAAGAATAAGGGGGAGGGACGGAGGGAGTGGAAGGGGGAGGGAGGGGCGTACAGTGGATATAGCGTCTGTCAGCGTCAGACCTAGGAAGTTCAGCTTATCATTCTTAGCGACAGCAGCCGTTTTACGCGTCTCACGTCCGGGAGTCGGTATTGTTTACCAGTCGTTGCAGCTGACATGCCAGTTTCAGACGTATCACGCTGTTCTCTCTCTTCATACTTTCCGTTACCTCAGTAGTTGCTATTCTATTTCCCTACTCTTATCCTTCGTGGTGGAAGTTGCTCACTTGATTGTGACGCTGCCGTTCGTAGTTATTATCTTGTGTTTTGTTTGCATACACTTGCTGTTTTAACGCGCGTACGCGTACGAAGCTATCATCAAAAAAGAATGCTGGTTATGGGCAGTCGGACCGGACGGCGATTCGACCGCATTTTGCTTACGGGGCGTTGCGGTTCTTTTTGACTTGTGCGCTGATGTGCGCGGCGCAGTGGGGTTCGATCGTCGTGGTCGCTTTTGCCTAACTCCGATTTTTTGTGCTTATATCTATGCTTCTCCTGTTCGGCATGTTGCTGACGTGATGCTTCGCTTGGGCGGCTGCCGTGCTTGTTGTGTGACGCCATGTCGCAGTAAATGAACGCAGCTTAACGCCTCGTCGACGCGCTGCAGTTGAACAGCGCTCAAAGGCTGTGCGCAACGCGGCAGCAGATTTGGCGCGTTTTCGGTATCTGCGAGCGTTGATCCGTGGGCGCCGCCGCATGTGTTGCGAGAGGGTATGGGGAATATGGTGTTAGAATTTGCCCGATCGCACAGACTGGTTTTGATCGGCACTGACTGTCAATTGCGTTCGCACCTCTGACTTTGGAGGCTGTTGCAGTTTGTAGCGTTTTCAGTGCTTTACAACGCTCGACGCGCGTCATCGCGAAGTCTGAACGCCGTCTTGCAAGCGATCTGAACTGCAGTCTACATCGCTCACACGAATTGTAGACCCCGGGGAGAATCCTCACTGCTTCACATTTCAAACGGCCCCCTTCTACCGACCGTCCTTCCTTGGTCAACCATAGACTGCGTACAAATGTTTTTCGTTCCCCTTTTGAGACAAGGTTAGATTTCAGATCGATTGCCCTTATGGGTTCCCATGTAAAAAGAACTGAACTCTGGTGTGACCCAGATATTCAACATTTGTAGATGATTGAGTGCTAGCGAAAATCTGGAAGAGGAGAAACTGGGGCAGACCACGTGGAAAGACCGAAATAAAAAAAATCCATACTTCTCCTTCTTTGTTGTAGAGGATGGTTTGCACGTTTGAACCGACACCGAATGATTCTTCAGAGTCGAATACGAGGGATTCGGGAGGATTGTGAACTCCGCCTTGTCCACGTGCCCAGATCTGAAACGATTTTCGGTAAATTTTTCGTGGAAATCACTCCATGTGATCAGCGTACCTTAACGGCTTTTCCGCCTCTGAGCACAAAGTCCGAAGGGAAGGTATAGACAATTTCACGCTTTCCGTCTATCTTCCTCTTGAGCTTCCATTCTCCAATGGGTTCCTCCTTGGAGCGATGAGTGTTCTCCAGTACGACATACTTGCCGTCGGGTGAGGGATCCTACAAAGGCCAATTAAGATAAAAGTTCTGCTGTTCTTTCACCGAAATGTTAGCGAGAGTAACTTACCTGGATGGAAACGTTTCCTTTGGCTGAACGGGTGTAGGAGGTTCGGCTGGAGGTCTCTCCTTTGACGACGCGCATTGTCTCTGAAGATATACAATACCATCAGGGAACCACACAACAATTCACAAGTCTCCGCCTACCAGTGTCAGCGACTTCGTTGATTCCAGTTGTTCGAACGACTTGTTCAACGAGCTGACGGAGTCCGGGACCGTCTCCTTCACCTTCGAGCATTTTACGGTAGATGGCGATTTCGGCATCAAGCGTCTAAAAATCCATATCAAATATCGATGCCTCAAAGTGGGCCTCAGCTAAGGACCCTCTAATGTACTCTGCAGTAATACCTGCTTGGTGTCGAGCAGCATTTGAAGTTCAACCATGAGCGCTTGACATTCTTCTCGCATCTTACGAATTTGAGCATCACGGTCGTTAAGAGCGGCTTCGTACGATCTCTGGTCATCCTCCAACTGGTAGTTCAACTCCTGGATCTGCTTCTCCAGCAGTGCATTCTGCAAAATTGCGTAGAGTTCTAGTAACAGTCCTGTGGAGTGTAAAATATAACGCTTCGTTCCCGACAGATACTGTAATGTACAACTGGAAAAGAGACAACGTGACTTACTCTGCCCTCCAAGTCGGCGAGTTTTCCTCTGAGGTCGGTGAGCTGAGTGCGAAGGCGTTTCACTTCATCCTTCTGGTAACCTTGCTCCATATTCTGGCGAGCGCTTTGAGTTTGAATCTCCTGCACCTTCAGCTTGTACCACGACTCCATATCGTTGCGGTTGGTGTTCATCATCTGAGGAAAAGTTCGATGAGGGATATGTCGGTCACACAAACGCAAGAAGTTCATAGCCGCATTCCTCTGCTTACCTGATCATACTCGCTTCTGATGTCTCTGATGGCTGAAGCGAGTTCGTTCTTGAAGAACTCACGGTTCTCGCTCGTAGTGTCGCGGGCAGCCATGGCTTGCAGCTCTTTGATCTCCTGAAAGTGAGCGGTATGTTACCGGTAACTTTTTACTGTGACGCTTAAGTTCAAGATTATGGTCTCCCTTGTTTGAGCCGAGAATATCACCTTGAAGCCTTCAGCCGAGTGCTAGAGCGTTCTTGCCCTTTTCCGCCTAAAATGGCTTTTCCATGAGGTGCCTGCCTTGTGAATGCGAAGAAAGGTTCACACATGTGGGCGGAGCCAGTTCAACGATTGCGCCTTCCTCATTGGTGCGCTACCCTTTTCGCACCGCGGGAAGGGAAGGAAGAGGTTGCGCCAGGGCATAACAGCAAGACTGACTACGCCCATATTATCAGCGTCGACTGTGCTCCTCAGGGGTGAGCGGAACGGTGCGAGAAGCATCCACGATAGTTCCTTACTATAGAGACCATCGTAGGGAATCAAAGTGAGGTTATTCCTCAAAACTTTCGCATCCGTAACAATTATCCGTTCTTGAACTGTACTTAAGAGTGAGCATTACCTATGGTCTGACCGCTGTGGATGTTAGGGCGTGTCAGCTTCCAATGGTGGAGAAGGCACTGGGGCCGCGCCAATCCAGCCCCTTTGACATACCTCAACATCCACTGCGAACAAGACTGTACTCATTTTGAGATTAGGGAGCTCCAGCCCAACATATGGATGATCCGAAAAGTCACTGTCACCAAGGGAGGTTTCTCCATTGGAGCTTCCTCACTGGTCATTGTCAAAAGGAAAGGTCATAGCTCTCTTCTTGCTTCTAAACAGCACTTGACTCCGATATTCTCCAGGAAGCCATCGAGCTGACTTAGAGCTCAAATAGCGAGAGCTGAAATGGGACCTTGGTGCTGCAGCGGGTGTCGATCCCCACTGAGTCTCAAAACTGGAAAACTACTCCAAGATGCTGGGAAGTTTCTAGCAAGAGAAGCCCCTGATTTGCCATCGAGTATACCATATAAAAGAATCCTTACCGCAGCAGAGCGAAAGCGCAGCAGTCTCGGGTGCCCTTCTCCTCTAAAGCTCCCCTTCCCCGATTCTATGAGATTCGGTTGGCCTCAGAAATTCTTAGGATTCCCGCCACGAGTAGCTATAGAGCACTGCCTCACCAAAATGCTTGCGATAGAGAAAAGTGGAAAAACTGGCACTCCACAGCAGTCTAAACTTTCTGGCGATCGATAAAACTGTTACAGTACTTCATGGGCAACATTTGATTCTTATCACCCCTACCATCTGGCAAAACTCTTGCTATATCAGGGACAATGGCGACGGAGGGGGGGGGGCATTTTGTACTATCATTGCTTCCCTAGTTCCGGTTTACAAGTCTCACTCTGGCGAAACCTGTGAACTCTTGTGAAGCTGGAGCAAGGTCGTCAAGCCATCATGGTAAAACCTGTCAACTCGAGAAGAGGCTGTCTAGATAGGTCGACACGTCGATGGGAAGTAGCAAAAGTGCAAAATGCCCCTCCCCCCGTCGCCGAACTGCGCCCAATAATCACCCTGAAGAACCATCAAACCCCGGCCAATCAACTTTTTACCTTGAAGAATGATCGCTTACCTGATCGTGGACTCTGTTGATGAAGTCGATCTCTTCCAGAAGTGTGGCGACCTGATTCTGGTAATCGATACGATTCAGTGTCTCCTGGTCGAGGTCCTGGAAATTGCCGAATGACTCATCAAACGGTTTTCAACTGGTTTTCATCCTACAGTAAAGAATAAAAAAAAGTAAACGGGATAACGCACTGTACGTGCACGTTGGAGTTCAGCCATCAAACGCATGTTCTCTTTCTTCAGACGAGAAATTTCCTCCTCAAGCAGGGCAATTCTTCTCTTCAAGAGATTAATTTCAGCTTCGATGTTTGAGAGTTTTACGAGGAGTTCGTCGATCTTTTCACGATCTCCAAGACGAGCTTTCGACGCCTCTTCGAATCTGCAATAAAGGGTTCTATGCTGGATGTTCTGCTGTTACGAGTTCTCATGGATGGTAACTTTTATGACGTCACTTCGTACACATAAAAGTAGAGTAAACTAATCACTTTCTACGGAATTCATTGAGATCATCTTGGAGTTTGCGAATTTCTTTTTCCAAGTCATCCTTTTCCTTGCCGGTTTGAGTAATCACCTGAAGAAAAAACACATTTTCGTTGTGTTTGTTTGCTAAGGCCATTGAGTTAACTGTGGCAGAGTTGACATACCTTCTTAGCTTGACTCATCTCTCCTTCATACATGCTACGAATGCTGCTGGTATCTTTACCCCAACGATTGCGTAACATATCAAGATCAGCTCCCAGTTTACGATTCTGAGCTTCGAGGAAGCGAACCTGAAAAAAGAAAGAATCCGGGATATGCTTATGGACCTTATGTTTGAAAAGAGCCAGGAGCTATTAATTTCGTACCTTCTCAATGTAGCTGGCAAGCTTGTCGTTGAGATCGCTCATCTCTTTCTTCTCCCTTTCACGGGCGTCTCGAATCGTTGAAGCCGCATTTTGGCCATAGGGTGACAGACCACTGGCCACAGATGAAGACGACATCTCGGTGACGATCTTCAGCACACGATTACCAGATCCTTAAAGGGATCAAGTAAGTCGGAGTTGTTTACAAATCATCTTCTTCGTTAGTTTACATGTTCGGCTAACAGAGATTCAACTAAATTTCCCTAGTTTGGTCTCTGGTTTCTCTCCGTCACTTCCCTGGCCGCCTAGATTTTTCATGGAGATAGGAGGCAAACAAAGGCGAGTACCTAGTCAAAGGTAGGTGATTCAGGTAGGAGGTCGTGACTGACAGCCTGTTTTCCTTTCCGCCACGACGTCGTGCCCTTTGAGGGAAAGATGGCTTATCAGAGGATATATACTATTAACATGCTCAGCAATTCCAGTAAGCGTCTTTGTGCTCCTAATCAGCAGAATCTTTGAGAAGCAAAACATGCTCGTCATTATTTACAAAGGTGCTACAATTTCTCTACAAGTTTAGCACTTGGCAACATAATATCCTCCCGTAAGGGGTGACGTACAAGAGTGATTGACAGGAAAGGAACGTGCCTTGGACAGAAAACGAGAACATGCCTCCACGGGAAAAAAGGCTTGGGCCACTCCCAACGATTGAGCCACTTTTTTGTGTCCGGATAGGGTCTTGTGGTAACCACAGAAATTATGGTGAAAAACGTTCCAATGCAACCATATGAAGTGCAACAGGATAGTCCGAAACGGTCCTAGATTTTAAGATAAATAGTGAAGCTGTCTCACGGGCAGACTAGGGGGGGGGGGGCGGGGGGGAAGTGGTGAGGGCACAAGACATCTGTAACTCGAGAGAACAACTATAAAAATGTTGGGCAGCGAAATATACGACCCTCTCTCAGCCAGCAGGTAAGACCCTCGAAATGGATTATGTAACCAAGGTGTGCGGCTCACTGCTAGCACACATCTTTCACATTGACACTGAAAGAATTCTAAGAGGGCCTGGCTTGTGGTAATGAAAGCCAGATTTCGGCAACTAATGTATTGTTCCGATATCATCAGAAGGAGAGTCAATGAAGAGGAAGGACAGCCAGTTGGGGTATTTTATAAAATTTGCCACACCAGGTAGGAGTGCTGTTGTCTGATCCGTCCCCACAAAGAATAATTACCAGAACATTCACTTATATTAGTCATGAAACCACTGAAACCACTGAAAAACAGGAATGTAAGTTCAGAAACAAAGGAAAGAGGAGCAGGGCGCAGTTTGGCAAGGGGGGCATATTGCTTTTGAACTTAGGCTGGTATAATTTCGTGGCTTCACAAGGTTTCACATGTCTTCACTTGATGGCTCGACACGTCGATGAAAAGAAGCAAAAGTACAAAATGCCTCCCCCGTCGCCAAACCGCGCCGAGGAGCAGTAAAAACCATGCCATGTTAGAAAAACAACCCAGGTCGCAAGACAGTAAAAGCCCAAGGTGACTGAGCTGAGTTGACACACAGTACCGCATTCTCT